CAGTCCTGTCAGCCATGAGGACCTGATATGGGCCACCCTTGGCCAAGTGTCCTTCAGATCCACACTTAAAGCAAGTGAGTGGGAGCTTTCTCTCTACTCCCTTGCCTATCTGTGGCTCTCGTCTGTGACACTGTCTACTGAAGTGGCCCAGCTTTCCACAGTGGAAGAAATTTTGACCTCCTTTATTACCTTTGGGTGGAACTGTTTATTAGTAAGACTTCCTTTTCCTGACACAGGCCCTAAACTGGCAGAAATAGCTGCTCCAATAATTTTGGTAATTCTCTGGTCTTTTCTCTTCCCTCTAGATCCCAGTTGTTAAAAGAGGGAAAAATTTAAACAAATGTATAACAAATAATTTTGAACATCATAATCTTTTAAGCTTGAGGCTAGAAATATTAAAAATATGATCATTTCCAATCCAGAGATACATGTTCCAATGCAGTTCCTATTTTCCATAGATGATTTTGGTAAGAGGAATATTGTAAATGTGGATACATTTCCACTATTCCTCCTCCATGCCACGACATAGTGTTATTAGCATGAGCAGTCATAAATCCATTGCCATCCTTACTCTAACTTAATTCTTTTTTAAAATTTAAATTTCTTATTAATTTCAGTAAAAATTTACAGAGGATTTGGATTTCCATTCATTCATTGTTGCACATTTCTCCCCTCCCAAGGCTCCCCCTCAGACCACCATGTAGCCATAGCTCTAGATTCCTGTCATGACAGAAATGCCTAATCACATACCTCTTTTAAACAGTTTTCTCCCTCCTCTGTATCAGTGCAATACACATTATTGAACCAATCTTACTCAGTCTCTCCCCAAGCCCAAGGTCAGTCCCGTTCTACAACAGTGGCATTATGAAATATTTGTCCTTTTGTGACTGGGATATTTCACTCAGCATAATGTTCTCCAGAGTCAACCATTTTGAATAATATTGCATGAATTCCTTGTTTTTCAATGCAGCATAGTATTCCATTATGTGAATATACCACAGCTTCTCTATCCATTCGTTTGTACATGGGCACTTATGTTGTTTCCAACTCCTTGCTATTGTGAACAAAGCTGCAATAAACGTGGGTGTGCATATATCTGCTTGAATGTCAGTTATGGTCTCTTTGGGGTATATTCCCAGTAGTGAAATTGCTGGGTCAAATGGAATCTCTATTTGCAACTTTTTGAGAAAGCGTCATAACACTTTCCACAGGGGTTACACTCCCACCAGTAGTGAATAAGGGTTTGAGTTTCTCCACAAACTCACCAGCATTTGTTGCTTGCTGTTCTGTTAAATTTTGCTATTTTGACTGGGGTGAGATGATATCTCATAGTTGTTTTAATT